CTGCACGCGCCCTCAAGGTGCTCAATGGAGTGCCAAGCACGAATCTTAGAAGCTCTATATAGTTCTTTACTTCTATTGCACATAACCATTTTGTTTCTTTTGCTGATTCTTACTTACAAGTTCGTAATTACTGGGTTTCTATTTCCTTTCCTTTATTTATATCTGGCAATTAGTTTAATGCTTGACTGCTTTACGCTGGATAGTAGTAGTAGATGTACATAAGTGCATAACCTCTTTTTGGAGGCTATACGGTCAGATTTTCAGAGGCTTGGACTGGACAAGATGCATTGTCCAAAAGCATACTGCAAATGGAATAGCTGAGGGCACAATTTTCAGAAAAAGGTTTTACTGTTTAATGGAAGGTTCAGTTTTCTTATAGCTAAATCAATCAGTTAGCTAATCCAGAGAAATCTAGCACTTTGTCTCCACATTTACTTCGCAACTATTTCACTATTTGTGCTGTCAGATCATATTACAATGGCTTCAGAACGAAAAAATCCATATATAGTGGCAGTGCAGCTCAGTTTTCTTTTTACGATGTTTCTAGAGTCTACACAACACTATACTCCAGTATCTTTTGAAGATATAGGATGATCAGTCACAAAAAAAAAGATATAGGATGATTGCAAAGAACTTGAGCATCACTTTGTTCAGTTAATAGGACAGTACAATAGGTCCCTTCAAAGAAATTTTGCATGGGATTCGGCAATCCTTTTATGCCTAGCTTTAGTGCTCTCAACAGCCCATAGTATCAGCTTCCTTATTTTCCAATACTAGCATAAATCTACCATGCTTTGTTTAAATACATTTGTCAATAAAATATGTCGGTAATCAGCAAGAGGAAAAACATAAGGCTGTTGAGTGCCTCAGACTACTTCACCAAATGCCAATGATTCTGCTGTGCACTGCTCCTGTTCAGCATCTTTGCTATCATGCACAGGTATGCAAGTCAAATTAATCCATCCCTCTCCATATCTATGGAAAATGTTGTAAGATTAAATTTGGAGTTAAAATGGCCATATTCTTATAAGCTTATTGCAGCAGAAAAATAATGTCTTTTGATCCTAGATTATATTTCTCATCCGCTACTCATTTTTTCATAAAATAGTTGACCAAATCCATTGGAAGATTATGTCATCAATGAAACAAACAATTAGAAAGTTAAGTATTTCTTTTTTGTACAAAAATGATCCATCCTCTTGTATTGAACCTTTCTACTTTGTTAATAACAAAACATTGATGCTGGCTGAAAGAACAGATTACAGAGCCCGAAATTTAGCTCCAGACAGTGTTTTATGCCTCCTTTAGGTCTAACCTGTTCCATTACATATCTTCGTCTGATATGTGTGGCTCAAGGTGAAGATGCACGGCAATACCCTGTAGCCTCACAACCAATGAAGCTACCTGCAGTAGGACATTATAAACTGCATAGGAGATGGTGCAGGTTAGAATGGAGCCAATATTCCTGTTTATATGTTTTCAAGTTTTGTTCAAATTGCCATTTATCGTAGCACCATTGTGTCGTAGGAAGATATAAGTGTGGCTCAGAACATTTGGTCTATTATTAAGATGACTGCCTTGTCTTACTCAATTGATACTCAATACATATCGCCACGGAGTTGTAAATCCGAAACAGGAAGGAAAGAGGCAAAAACACCAGCAAAGGGATGAGGTCATAAGGACGTTAGCGCCCTGGGCCACGCATCATGGACTGCCGCAGTGAATATTCATAGCAGTTAGCAGCAGTGATCCATGTTACCCTTTCCTAAATGAACTATTCTAATATTTTTATTTTTATAGACCTCTAGCATTTCAATTTATGTACTCATCACTACAAGAACAAAAGATCAGGGAGCATTTCGGACAGCTACAGACATCCACAGGCTGCTTTACTGTAGCAGGGGCGCAGCTTTGCTGCGCCTGTTTTCTAGTCTTAATAGAAAGGCACAGCCTAACTTGTCATGGTGTATGGGCAAAGGTTACCAGATGGTGAACCCCATTATCCTCTATTCATTGTCCCCTCATCTCCATGATTGCGGCAACATGCAAGTGCAAAGCTTAGCACCACATCAAGACGATGGCGGTGGTGAAACTAGGCAACTAGGGAAGGAAGAAAATTGTCGAAGGGGTATAAGCTGTTATTTTGTGTTTGCATAGATTTACTAGCATGGCAGCCGCGCTAACGCTGTGTCGACATACTAAGATGTGTGGAAGCAAAGCAGATAGCGACACACATGATCAGTTAATGACATGAATGTGGTAGTTCTTTTGCTCATGCAATGGTAGGCTGGCAAATAAGAACAAACGGAAACACGTACAATTATGTGGCCAAACATTGATAATTTTATTGGAATAAACAAATGATTGAGTTAGAGCAACTCAAGCAGGCTATCTAAACCCACTACCTACCCCATATTTGGGTAGTGGAGGCCAAAAAGAGCTCCTCCAAAAGGCTACCTATCAGACTATCTACTTTTGTTTGGCCCAACAAATTTCTCCTCACACTACCTACTTCTGTATATATATAACTATACAGCATTAGATGGGAGAACAGCGGATAGCTAACTGATCCTGAGGTGCACAAGCACAAAGCTGCTGAACAAAGCATATGTAAGCTAATGGAGAAGAAGATCAGTGGCCAACACAGTTATGCAGATTGACAGTCATAAATTGCAGTTGGTGTAGCTAAAGAAACCATTTAGCAATTGCACTCAACTATCTAGTAACTCACTAATATCACTTTCTCTAAGGTAGAGCCCAATGGAAAACTAAATATTTATACCTTGTTTTAGTGGCGTTGTACCATCGAACCAGTTCACTTGAATTGAAATATAGGATGAAATTTGTAAGGTAAACATCTAACATGAAAGCAAATGTGAGATAATCTTTACCCTGTTATCCAATTGTATTTTTCAGCATATGTGACATCTTATCAAAAATTAGAACGGCAATGTATGAGAGAGCAATGGACCATAACTAATTCAGAGCGCAATAGCCACCTCACTTGAGGCTAGAAGGTAGTAGGGCATGAGTTAACTAACAAATTAAATAGTGATAGAATGACTTTTTATGTATAAATCTGTATATCAAAGAAGCACTATAAATGAGTATAGGATACAAAATGAGGTAGAGAAGGGTTACTGGGGCCGTAGGGGTTTGAGATGAGAGCACTTAGCTATGAGGTAGGAACTGCCAATTGGTTCTAGCATCCCAGGGATCAACACGGAAAAGACAAACAATGGAGCAACATGCATTAGAGCCCAAACCCTAGAACAGGAATTCAAGTCAGTTTGGGGAGAAATCAGAGAGGCAAAACAAAATTACAAAAAGGAGGAAACTGGAGTACCTGAGAGAAGTGATACTGCCTGGTTATTTTTTCTTTAGTTGATTGAAGCAGGCCGAGAGAGAGAGGGGAGGTGGAGGCGGCGAGACGCTGCAGATTTTTTTCTTGGATGACGGGATGAGTTAAGGGAGAGCGGTGATTTTTTAGTGAGAAATGCCTGCATTTGACGTGGTACGCGGCGATATAGGCGCAGGGGAGCGTGAGGCCCTCGCAGGCCTATGATTCGTGGACACGTGAGACTCTAAATGTGAATGAACGTGTACACAAAACAGGAACCGTAACAGTTACTTGAATAGTGTCAGATGCTCTCTGAGTCCTGCAAATTATTGTGTTGAGGGATCTTATTATTACACTCTCTTCTTGTTCTGGTTGAAAAGTTCTCATTTTCCTATGTTTCCCATTAACCACTAACAGAAAAGATTTTATGTTTGCCTCACCTTCTAACAAGTTCTTCATTCTTGTCTGTTGGTACCATTTGATCTCCTCCTCTAAGAAATGTTGTTAGTCTTCTGTGTAAACAATGTTTAAGTTCATCAGATGTTAGCATGACACACTTTGCCTTTTTGTCTAATTCGTCAAGTTTTGTCTAACAATCTCTCCTTTTTTGTCTTTTAGGATTCACTCATGTTCTTAGCCCAACTCCTCAAGTGCTAATGAAGGCGTATTATTTTCACTTGCTAACATTCTAAGGGAGTGATGCCATCTTGTAGAGTCCTAGCAAAATAACCTTTGTATCAAAGAAACCATCACGCAACAACCTTCCTAACCCAAATTGAAAAGAGCATGTGTTGCTTCTTGTAGATGTATCCCCTGGATGCAAAAATAAAGAGTATGGCCTGAAATTCGCTTGCCAACAGTGGAGCGAGGATATATTACTTCTCAATTTGTGAAAACCTAAATCTAATTTCTCAAATATTGGGGCCTACAAGTTATTAGCCCAAATGTATTTTTTGCACAATTAGATTTCTCTAAGATGAAAAGCATCAATAATTGCATCATGTAAGCATAATGCATCATGAGTAATGAGAACCAGACACTCCTCCACTATGACTTTGGTTACGCCCTATTCGCTTGGCTTATAAGCCGTACTTTTTCAGCCAACGAACATTATTTTTCTCTCACAGCAAATCAGCCAACAGTACTTTCAGCTATGGCTTATCAGCCAAGCAAACAGGGCATTAGTCTTTGCTCTGTCTGTGTTTGGTAGTCTGTTATGGAGTTTTGATGCAATAAATGTTGTGGTTTTGTGGAGCCTGACAACAACAATTTTATAGTATAAAACATTTAACATTATGGCCCAATGCAAAGCAAATTAGCAGGGAGTTTCTCCCTAAGAACTCTAAAAAATATATTTAAAGATGAAGTAGTAAGCTTTTGCAAAAAAAAAAAATTATAGTTAACTAGATTGCAAAGCACAACACAGGTGCAATAAATTGACAAATATGTAAATGAGTGGCGTCAAAATAAATAAGGAGTTCTTCTTTTCCATGTTCCCTTCTTTCAAGACAAATTACCATTTTTATTGCAAACTTCTCGTTTTGACAACTACATGCATCGACAAGAATCCACCAATCAATACATATGCATTTGACAAAGGAAAGCATACATATACATAAATTGTACACAAGTTCTTATTGGCTTCCCACCTATATTCTAGCTAGGCAGCCAGTCTCTTGTACCTTACCATTATTTTCCCTTTAGGTTCTAATGCTAACTTGCTCCGATCAGTCTTCGGGTAGGGAGAGACCAATTTGAGGTCAAAGTTTCTTAGCAAATGACTCAATATTATCTTAATTTGCATATATGCATAAGCTTCTCCAACGCAAGCATGCCTTCCAGCACTAAAAGCTGTGTAAGAGTACTTGCCTCCGACTTTATCCTCCTCTCTTCCTGGACCAAACCGGTCAGGATCATATACATCAGGGTCCTTGTAAATGTGAGGTATATTGCTGTTGAATTCTATGGGGCTCGCTATGATATGCCCTCTTGGGATCTCATACTCATCACCTTCTTTAGTTTGCACAATGAAGTTCTTGTGTACCTTACGAAAACTTGCTGCTGCTGGAGGATGCACTCGTAGTGCTTCCTTGATGCAGCGTTGTAGGGTCTCCATCTCCATCAATGCATTGTAGTTTATATGGTCCCCATATTTTTGAATAATTTGCTTTTGCTCATCACGAATAGCCCTCATGAACCTTTCATGGCTGAGTAGGCACACTGCAGTCCATGCACTAGCAGCAGAGCTCGTGTGCGTTCCAGCAAAAATCAAGTTTAGGATCAGCCCGATTACCTCTGCTTCAGTTGTGGATCGATTATCCCTGTACTTGGAATCAATCAAGTTTTGTAGCATGTCCCGTTCAGCTTGATTTGAGCTCCTGCGTGATCTCACAATCTTGATGAGCATTTCTGAGAGCTTGGCATGTGCTCTGTCACGTCGATAGTTTGCTAGAGTAGGAGCATATGGGAATAAAACGCTGGTGAGGCACAACCCATTATCAGAGAGTTGATGAAATAGAGTATAGAACTCTTTGAGCATCTTCTCTCTAACCTCCCTTCCAATTAGGCATCTGCTTGATATTAACATGAGTAATTGTGCGAGTTCACCTTTTAGATCAACAGTGCCATGTTGCTCCCATTTTGAAAAGTAATCCTATTCACAATTATAAAAATCTAAGTTAGACCTTTGTGCACATAGTAGAAAATATGTACTTTCAAAGTTTAATGCTGTTAATAACTCTCAACAATTAGCCACATTTCAATATATAGGCCTCCTTAAAATTAACATTTGATCTCCATCATCGGGCTCTATTAACACTTCAATTTTTAACCTACATGTATTATGGCACTCATGTGTTCTTCATTAGATGTTGATTTAGACTCCAACTAAGAGAACAAGGTGGCAATCAATTCTTCCCCCTTTGGCATGTTGATGCCTCGTGATACCAATTAATGGCAGCCCAGACCCCAGTCCATACAACTTGTACATTCTCAGATCCAACTTCTAGTAGCTTTAAAATATATGGACACATTAGTAAAAATACCATCTAAGAACATAGAACAAGAACTATTGATAACAAAACCAAATTCCTTCAAAGACACCAAGGGTATTTAGTTAACAATAAGTTTCTTTCACCCTCAAAAATGAAACCAGATATCTTACACCGTAAACTTCTGAAATGATGGTTTTCCATGCTGATAGATATATAGTTATATGCTGATAAGGAGAAATTAACCATTTTGGTGTGAAAAAATAGAAAGGTGATCTATGTTACGCATATTCATTAGAAAGGCCACCACAGTTCATAAATAACAAAACCAAACTAATCACACGCACATGCACACACACACACGCACACACGCACACACATATGTGCCCAACTTTTTTCAATTTAGCCCTTTTTCTGTTAAAATTTCACATTTATACCCTTGGGTGTCAGAAACAAAACCCCAGCTTTAGACCCTAAGCTCGGCACCATGGCCTATCACGCCGAGGTAACATGTCTCGGCATCATAGGCCATGGCACCGAGGTTGGAGGTCAGGGTTGGCGTGGCTGGCGACGTGGCGCAGACGTGGCCTGAGGTCGGCACCACGATTCACGGTGCTGAGCTCGGCACTGCAGATCATGGTGCCAAGCTCGGCGCCATGAATCGTGGTGCTGACCATTGAATTTCGAATTTGGCGCCAAGGGCATGTTGGAATATGGCTAATTCTAACATATCGGAGTCATAGTAAAATTCTAGAGTAAGACAAATAAATTCTAGGTTGTCCATCTCATGGTAAAAATGCAACCAAATTTTATCTGACCAGGTCATGGTAAAATTTTAGGATTTCCAAGAAATGATAATTTATGGTTAGAGTTCAATTCAGAGGTCGGCGTCATGATTCATGGCATCGATCTCGACGCCATGATCTGCCCCGAGCTCGGCACCATGAATCGTGGCACCAACCTCTGGCCAGTGCCACATCACCAGCCACACCAACCCTGACTTCCAACCTCGGCAGCATGGCCTATGGCACCGAGACGTGTCACCTCGGCGCCGTAGGCCACGACGTCAAACTCAGGGTCCAAAGATGGGTTTTTGATGCCCAGGGGTATAAATGTGAACGAAAGAGGGCTAAATTGAAAAGAATTTGGCACATATGCGCGCCAACACACACACACATAAATATTATAATTATCATCTTGGTGCTACTTTTCTCAAGTTGCTAATAACTCACATGATTGTCAAGATCTGTTCAAATGATCATGAATTCTAAGTGACCTTATCATTAGTATATAATGTCATGTTGATTGTAGTGTATGAAAATAAATCGTAGAATTGAATATCACAAAACAAAATCGGCATGACATGATTCATACTTACTTCCACTTCTTGAAGCATAGGACCCACATGGCTCCTCAAATTTGAAGGTTTTAGTGCATCAACATAGAAGCGAGTTTGCTCGTTTCGTGTGGCGATATCCACGCCATAGATAACCTCTTTACCAAACATGGGCACTGTAAACTTGAGAACATCACCAGAACTAATCTGTGACTCTAACCCTTGATAAAAATGGCCTAAGACCTCCGGCCCAATCAAGAACGTTACTCTCAACCCAAAGAAATTTATCGTGAACACGCTTCCTAACTGTGTATATTGATCATGGATCATAGCTCGCATACCCTTTGTAAGAAACGTATGAAAAATCCCTATTAGAGAAGCACCGGTCACCACAGGTGGAGGTGGCCTGTTACATACAGGATTGACAACAGTTCTATGTCTTCCTATCATGGTGATTACTGATATGATGAAAACAAGTGCTATGGCAAACCACAAAGCACTACTTGTCTGATCCATTATGCTATAGTCACGATGATTCAAAGCCGTCAGCATATCAACAGTACTGCAAAAATATGATGATTGGAAGCTTATGTCAAACCCTTGAAAATTTGCTGAATTTATGCGTCCAAACAAAAAAACAATGCTCATATGGATCAACTACAACATGAAGGTGTTGGTAACAGATGAAACATGCACATGTATCACCAGGCCAGAATGCGGTACAATACAAAAATTTACATACGTAAGGATAGAGCTAATACCTTGGGCGGAGAAGCTGGCCTCCCAATAACTAGAGTAGCTAACTAGCTTCAACTGTTAGTACTAGTCGCCACACTTGCCACATATATAAGGTCGTGGGATCAGTTATAGCCGCCGGAGAGAGGATTATGGTAGTCTAATAATAAACTAAAAGGGAAATGATGTGGATTTGATCGATATTGGATTAGTTGGCTTATTAGATTCAGATTAACCAGTGGGGGATGCAGTCCAATTAGGATCCGTAACATGCGCTCTAAAATATATTTGCTCCATGTTCGAACTAGGGAACCTCAAGTCAAGGAATTAGTTAGATGACTGCGACCTAGTAGCAATTTAATCATAGCTAGTGAGACAATTATACACTTAGATGTCTGTGCTAGCATCTTGGCTCCAAAGATACCATTTAGATGAATATATCTACTATCAGGGGCGGCGCCAGGGTACCCAAGATTTTGGTGACAAAAATAAATATATAGAGTATTCTCCCTAGTATAGACGTATAGTGGTATTCCCTGCGATTATCCAATTGGATCAAAAGCCCACAAATCAATTAGCAGCCCACAAGAAACAGGCAAACTTCCTCAGGCCCAAGCGGCCAGCCCTATTCCCTTCGGCACCTCGCGAATCGCGACTCGCAGCTCGCATAAGGGTACGTACAATGCTCTTAGCTGGCGAGGCGCTTGTAGGTGGTTACAGGTTTTGCTTGCCACGGTGGACATGATACCGGCGCTTGTACGCAACGTCGCTGCCTAAGCCTAATCAAGCGTCCGACGCTTCGTGCTGTCCGACAAGCAAATCCTACCGTGACAAGCTAAACTAACTACTATTTTCTTTAGATATATTATTCAAAAATACTATACAACCCATATGTATTTTAGTATAAAAAACACATGAATTTTCTCGATCTCTACCTCTCTCTTTTCAACCGTGGACAGCCGTGGTCCGTCAGCATGGTTTAGCACTGCTGCACTTTCACTCAATCATCACCTACTAGGCTACTAGCAAGTCGTCAATCCCTCCATGAGATAAGTGAGAAATGGCATCACCCCATAGTTGCTTTCGCGGCTGGCAGAACACGAGCCACGTCGCACTTGTGCTGGTGTCCGTGCTGCTCCTGAGCTCGGCACGTCTCTGCGATTTGTCCTCTTGTCCTTAGAAAAAAAATTATTTTTTTATCTGTGATCTTGTGATTTATGATTGTCTGAAGGTAGAAGAAGGCTGAAGGTAGAATGAGAATGGAGGTTGTTAGATCTTAATTCTATGGTGTAAAAAAATTCATGTGTTGAAACTGCATAAAACATATAGTTGTTAGGTAGACAGACACATGGTTGTTGGGTAGACAGACTCTATATTATTTCCTATAAAAAAACTACTATTATTGACTTGTTCTCAAGTAAAGAAGCGCCTATCCCGTAGTAAGTTAGAATTGCTAGATAATGGTCCCGTTCGTTTCTCTTTTAATCTATCTTTTTCAACTTGTTTTTTTAACTAAAATAGTATTTTTCTCTCACAACAAATCAGCTGGAAGACTGTTTCGACTTGTTTTTTCAGCGAAGTGAACGGGGCCAATGTTGTCTCTTTAAATGCCGATGTAAGCATCTCTGCATTATACGTGCCCTAAAGAGGACTGTCGCCTGGCGGTTGGTGCCCTAAATGAGTTCCAAAATTTTTGAAACTCCTACACAACAAAATATACTTAGGCTATTGCTTGTTAAAAAAGTTTTAGAGTATGGAAGGCATTTTTCCTAGGACAGATCGTTCTCTATTTGCTTGATAAATAAAATGATCAATAAACAGCAACAAAAAAGTAGTAATGCCTTTATAGATTGATGCATGAGCATGGCCAGTGGTGAGTTGCCACGTGGACACGCGGCCCCGACGTCCAGAAACCGCGCAAAAGTGCCCTAAAAATAGGAAAACGCTAACCCAATGTAAGCGGGCGCCCGAGCTCAATGTAAATGGGGTGCACGAGCTAGATGGGGGCCACTTCTTTTTTGCGACAGATAGTTTGATGGTATACCTATTTTTAACGTCAGACAGCTTGATGTTAAATATGATTATCTATAGTGACAGATAATGAATCACTAAATGAGAAATTAGCGACAAATCGTCTGTGAGTTATCTTTAGCGACAGATCGTCCATCGATAAATATAATTTTTAGCCTCATATGTCTGACGGTGATGCGGTGTTGTGACGTAGTGTGATGCATCCTGAGCCGAAGGTGGCTGCATGAGCCGCAACGACGGTCAGCGGCAAGGCGAGAGCACTATGTGTTTGATGCAATTTAAACACTTTTGCACTGAGAGGGCATGATGAAACTGAGACTCGCTAAAAGGAAATTCCCTTGAGCTTTTAAATTGGCTAAAAGGAATATACGATAATACTCCTTGAGCTTTTAAAAGGAGTATTACAATATATTTACATTGTAATTTTTTTACATGGAATTTCCTTCCGTAACATCCTGGCTCCGCCACTGGTAGTAGTTTCTACTGTATTTGAGCTTTCAAGCATTTGGGTCGTAAATAGGCAAGCCCTAGGCCCGTGTCCGGAAAGTTCCCTGCGCCCCGTGTATGCTCCATGCTGCACGCCCCGCCAACTCGGATTCCGCACCGCTCGAACGACTCGCCCTACCCACGCCGCCCAAACATCACCAAATCGAGAAAAAGGATGAGACACCGAGGCGAGGCAGCAAAAGTTGAGGAGGGAGAAGCAACACCCAATCTACTTTTGAAACATCCAAATAAAACATTTGCAACATACATTTGAAACAGTTAAAACACTTGCAATATACGTCTGAAACACTTGTAAAAACACTTGAAAAACGCTTGAAAATCCATTGCAAAATATATGTAACATCCAGATGAAACACACACAACATATGTGTGAAACACATGCAACATCCATATGAAACACTTGCAACATACGTGCACAACGCATCGAAAAAAATAGGTGAAACAATGGGGACAAAAGCTTGCAACATACGTGCACACCCATTGCAACATTTGCGACATCTCGATCTACTTTTGCAATATTCATATGAAACACTTGCAACATACCTATAAAACATCGAAAACACTTAAAACATATACTTGCAACATGCGTTTTACACCTTCTTCTTCCGAACGACGTAGAGCAGAGCGGGGAACGGCCGGTTCCGGCTAGCCGGTGGCGGAGGATGGTGGCATGGCATGGCAACGGCCAGCTGCGCCTGTGCCGGGCCTGGTCTGGCCACTCTGGATCTTTGATGTCGTGAACTGAGGACGAGTGTTGCAGCGGCGCCGATGTTGAACCAGCCAACCTTTTCTGGTGGGGAATGGTGGTGTCGGCAAAACTTTGGCACCACCTCGATGTGGCCGGGGACAGGGCATAGTGCTCAGCTGCGGGGCATGGGGCATAGGGGCAGGGATGGGGTGCAGCGAGGTCGGAGCGTGCGCAGCGAGGGGATGGAGTGCGGCGCGGCGGCAAATGCGGCGCAGGATGCAATTTAAACACTTGGCACTGGGAGGGCACGATGAAACTGAGACTCACTGAACAAAAGGAATTCCCTTGAGTTTTAAAATTGGCTAGAAGGAATATATTATATATATTTGCATTGCAAATTATTTATTTTTTTAAACATGGAACCTTCCGTAGCATCCTAGCTCCACCACTGGGAGTAGTCCATTATATTTGAGCTTTCAAGCCTTTGGGTCGTAAGTAGGCAAGCCTTTTGTAAGAGCCACGAGCTCCTAGACGGAGTACTATGAAGAACCCTGTGGTCTGTGTATGAGGCAACAATTATGAACTAAACGCTAAATCAATTCTATCATCTGCTGCTTCTTTCTCACCAAGCCGCCACCCTCAGGCCTCGGCGTCGCAACTATGAGCCTGTTCGGCAGGACTGAAAAATATTGTTCGGCTGATTATTGTGAGAGGAAAATACTATTCTGGCAGAACGTGGACAGTGATTTCGTGAGTGACAGAACCAGCCAGCCAGCCGGCAACCAGCCAGCCGAACGGCCCTTATCTGTCTGAAGCTCGCAGGCGCGCCGCCAACAAAATTAGGACGTCACATTAGATGATTTTAGAATGATTGTACGTGATGATCTCTTTCCATGCATGTATGCTTCTTCCGGAGAAGAGAGAAAATGTTCAGCCCATTCGGCTAATCAGTTCTCAGCTATTTTCAGCTTATTCTCTCTCACACAATACTATTGAATCATCCGAAATCTAAACAGTTGAACAGGAACCTTTTTCCATTGCCGTATTTTCTTCTTTTTTATTATTAATCCAGAAACTTGTTGTGATGTGATTTCGTGCCATCTACTACATGACAACTTTGGCAGTTGAGATTGTGAAATTCAACTTATTGATGATAGATTGTGGACAGACGAGAGTCCAAAAGTTTTTTGCTCTTTGTCGATTTGGATTATGGTTGTTTTGGCTACAATCCATACCTGGTAACAGGTATTTGAGTTGTTGAATCATGCAATCTGGATAAGCGCTTTTGGTTGGTTGATTCAATTGAATTATTACTCTCTCCGAAGAAAGGAATGAAAGGGAAAAAGAAACAGATAACAATTGTAAGCACTGTTGGGATCTCCCCTAAAGTCTTTTACCGTAAAAAAAACAAATGTAACAGTAGAGAATGGGTGGAGTTAGCATTTTGGATGGCCATGTTCGCTTGTCTAATCAGTCGTACTTTTTCTCTCACAATAAATCATCGAACAGTACTGACTCGTCTTTTCAGCGGAGCAAACAGGACGGCATCAGTCAGTGTAACGCAACCATCGTCGTACCTTGAACGAGCTCGAATCGACCGTGTTTGCCCACCTGTGCCGTGAATCACATAGATGAGCAAGGTCCAGCATAACTGAGCTGAAGAGCAAGTATGAGATGCGTGCGTCCCTACCCTACCGATACAATGGAACGCATGGAAAAAATACTCAAAACTACGATCATATGTTAAGACTGGTTGGTTATCACTGAGACATGGAAAACCTGAGGTCCTGTTTGTTAGCTTTATAATTTTATTCACCAGAAATTAGTTTCCGATTGTAGTATCTTGTGCACTAGAATACAGCCGTAAAATGTAGGTTTGGGTGAAATGTCTGGCCTCGTACAAGCTTCTTCCACAGAGCTCCGCCGTCCAAACAGCAGCAGTCCATAGATCGCACAGCTCGCTCGTCATCTGCACCTCACTCACATGGACAGCTACGGGCATCGAGCCCTCTTGCACGCAATAAGCCAGCCCTAGTTTTGCCAAATCCACGCCGCCTAAATCGATCTTGAGGCCGCAGATCTGTGGCAAAGGATTATGTGGACCGAGCCTCAAGGCGGTGGACGAGGCATGAGGCTTCAACTTGCAGAGGGCGGTCGTGCTTGTGGCAGCTGGGCGAACGGAGATGGCTTCCTGTCAGCAGATGAGGACGACAGCGGAGCTCCCGGCACTACATCACCAGAGGCAGCAGTCGACGCCACCTGGACTTCGCCGCTCGGGACCTGAGCCAGCGAGCGCTCCGCCGTGATGCGATAGATGGGGACGGCCGCAGCTCTCTGCTCCTCATGGCGCACAGTTCAAGAACTGGAGGGAGTGGCCCGGCCGGGGAAGTAGATGGCCGACAGGACGGGTCGGGGAGGGCGTCTAGCGGCGGAGGCGCGATTCCAAACCCACGAGAAGATCTGGGGCTACCGTGCGGAGTCGCAGGTTGAGCCCGACATTCGTCGGATTAAAATTGCCGGCTGATGAGGTCTTTTTTTTTTCCGGATGTAACAATGTAATACAACTGTAATTTTAATAGGTTGACCAGCCATCCAAATAGCATTTCTCAATCCAACCTGTATAACTATCCGGATCTGTATTTTACAATGGTATTCAGTCTAAAACTAACCTCCTTCCAAACAGGATCTTGAGGATTAACTCATGCCGTTGGAATACGTGAAAAAACATTTTCTCATGGATATGATGAATCAGCTCACATACGCGAGACAAGATTAAGTGGGATGACGATCTAAACACTCCATGCCAGATATCGAACTCCCTAAAAATTGTCATACAGGTAGAAATGCAGCAGCAATGAGAGCATGTAAATTCTACGAGTGCCTTCAGCATCAACTTCTGTTGCCACTATACTCTTTAGTCCAAACGCCACACATTTGCATTCCTAGCTTATTAATTAAGGAAATGCTTGATTCTTTCGTCAGGAGCAGAAAATGTAAAACTGGCCATTCACCTCTACCTGAAATTGATTCCAAGCTTCCAGACCACACTGCAGTAAACAGCTACAGTAAGTAAACCAATGACAGATTACAGCATGGCCCATGCCGAATTTGACACTGAACTATATTCACTAATGCAGTTCTCATTATCTTAAGGGCACAAACGCACAATCGGAGATTCCAGTTTAGGAGTACATTTAAGGCTATATGTAAAAATGCTATTATTCTTAATTAATTATATAATTTCATTTTTCCACAAAATATTTGCTACTAAGTACGAAGTACTTGTTACTTTTAACAGTAGCATCAAGCCTGTATAAGACAGCAAATTTTCACACTAAACAACTCAAAACTGCAATTCGATGTAGTTCATAAGAGGAAAATGAACATATGCAACAATTCCTATAAATACAGACTTGCTCATACTCACAAAATGAATGGAACATAAACAATTGCTTACGTCAAGTAAATCAACTTACATGTGAATATGAGTGGCCAGAAAAATAATGTACCCTTGAAACATTCTTAAACAGATATCATGTCAGACTGTTAGTCCATCAAATCACCTGTCAGTTCACATCAAAAATAGGAAAAATGGTTGACGATGCAATGGAATCACTTCTTGATGCAAGAAATGAAGTGTAACTAGTATAGATTTCCCTTACTGAATGATTAAATGGAAACTTCTCATATACCTCTTTACTTGTAGCCAACTTCTTTCATCAAGTGGCGGTAGCTTCGCCCCCGTATCAAACGTTGCCAAAAGAATGCTAGCGTTTCTTGAATGTTCAATTGTAACCTCTGTTGAGCAAGCCTAGATGGAATGGTGATCAATATCAAGGCACACAATCATTTCTTACAATACTTAAAGGAGTAGAAGAACAAACCATCTGGCAAGACAACGCTGAATCCCACGAGTGATTGGTCGCATAAAGGATGGTTCTCTTTGTTGATACAGTAAACCAACCTAGCAAACAGCAACCATGTAATAATCACATAAATATCATTACACCAAATATCAAGCAGAGTTCAATGATTTCACCTCCATCATGGCAACAGCAGCAGGATCATCCAATATTTCTAAGCTGTCATCTGCTAGGTAGTTCACCTGTGAAATACACAAAATAAAACATTCTAAAACTCTGCTATCTATAAATAGATGATGTGAGATGTGCAAAATAGGGTTGCCTTTTCGGTGCATGTTTGTAAGTAGTGGATCAGTGGGAACAAGGTAAGGTTGTCACTTCTCTAATACTGTGCAGTGCATATTCATCAAATACTGAATGCTGGCTTGCAAAGAGATTATACCCCAAACTCAGTGTTCACAAAGGATTGGATAAAATCCATTAGCTGAATCTTCGCCCATTTATAGGACAAGTCAGGGTTGTCATCCCGAGGTGGATGTCTCCAGGGTGCACCAAAAGACAATCTGTTCTCTGGTACTTTACCCTCACGGACATCTGAGGCAAACTTCTGCAGCATTTTTAGTGCCTTCTCCATGGCTGGATTAACAACAGAGACCTGGTGAGAAGAAATCAAACAACAATCATGTTTTTCACTCTTAATTTGTGTGCATTCTTTTAAGTCTGTAATTTGAAACAGCAGAACACAACAATGATAAAAGAGCATGTTTGAAGTAGGGAGCAAATAAAGTTTTCAAATTAGAAGATGGCATATTAAATAGCATTTATGTCTAAGCAACTCAGCTGGCAACAACTGAAACTTTACTTACTTGCAAGTGTGCCAGGTACGTATCAATAATTTCCTCAATATTTCTGTCATGAAGAACCCTGTAATGCAACAGAGATTAGACACAGGCAACAGCAATATGCAGCATGTACAGTTAATAAAACTAAGGTGGGTGCTGTTACCATGTACATTTTAAAACTTACTGAGACTTTACTGCAAACCACGGAATTGAATATAGAAAAAAACAGCAAAGGTCTCAGAGATGAACACTTTGAATCCTGTATATAAGCCCTAACTAAACAAGAAGGATTTCCTAGGAAGGTATGGTGGACAAAAATCACAAAACCTGATACATATTAAAAATAGTTCAAACTTATCAGAGAAACAAAGTGAAACTGATAAACTTATAGAATTTGTCGAGGGAAAAGAACCTAGAACTGATCGACTCATCCATCTAGTCATTTTTCAAGAAAAAAATGTGTGGTCTACAAAAGCAATAAGCATAAGAGTTTTTTCCTTCTATTTATTAATAACAGGAGGCCAGAAGAAGACATCTTACCCAAATGAGATCAGAAACGAAAGTGAATCATATTTTGGGATAAGATACTGCCAACATGGGATAAAACCAATAAAGTTCAATGACAAACTACGGACGCAAGTTACTTACTCTGGGCTATTCGCCTTTTGCTTTAGCATATATATCTCAGATAACTGCCGTGGGTTTGGCCCAAGAACCTCATCTACAACTTTCCACTACAACTTCAATAAAAATCAAAAACAAATTATGTACAGAGATTGCACAAGGGGAAAATTATAGGAAGAATACATTCATATTTCACACAAACAGGAAACATTAGCAGGTTTAAAATATAACTACCTCCTGTTCACTGAAGAATTCAGAAACCATATGCAGCTTAGCTTCTTGTGCCGTCCAACCAAATGTCTGTCATCCAATTATTATGCTTCAAGTAAAAAAGCAGGAAGCGCGGAAAAAAATAGAAAAGCACCGAAATGAGCATACCTCACGAGAAATAAATATGTTCGGAAAACCAAAATCAACGAACGCTTGGGAAGAATAGTACCTGCAAAGATTCAGAAAATGTGTAAAGTTGATACTTTCCGGTTAGCAGCAATGCAGCAGAGTACCTGTTTTACAGTAAAAATTTCCTTAACCCATAAATATGACAAGAGAAAACTATTGGAGTTAAGGTAAACTGTAGGCCATAGCATGCCAGGAAGAACTATCGAAGTTCAAAGAAAATAAACAGGGAATAAAAACAACTCTTTGAGGGGCTGTGACAAGCTTATTTTCTTTAGGGAACAAGCTTTCATCACAACAAAAAGATCATGAAGATGCAACAGAGTCCAGAGGAAACAGAATCTCTAACTTGAATGTTGTGTGTTATATTTGCGAAAGGGTAATCCCATATCCTTATAGCCTCATATAAAAAAACAGAACCTACATTAAATGAATCCATAATGGGAATAAAATGTTTTGAACCAACAAAAGCGCATGCAGATGAATAAAACTATACTTTTCTTGAGGTGTCATCCTTATTATGGTTTTCTAGACATCCTCTAAAAGGGGGCGTACCCAGTGCAGAGAGCTCCCGCTCTGTGCGGGGTCTGGGGAAGGGTGTCAGTGGCAAGCCTTACCCTCGCCTGTGCAATGCGAGGAGACCGCGACTCGAACCCAGGACCTTCCGGTCACAGGCGGTAAGACTCTACCGCTTGCACCAGGCCCGCCCTTCTAGACATCCTCTATTGTAACAATTTTGGAGGCAGTTGCATCACAAAATTTTGGTCCAGCATGGCAGTATGCTCACTCAAAATCATCCCACACCACTGTAGAAATGCAATTTGCCGGTTATCACCAAACTTCACAGCACAAACATGGAGAAAGCAATAACATATTTCTCTTAGAATATATTCTTAAAATCCTTCAAATTTGAGAGATTTTGCAAGCATTTTGAATAAAAAAACTACACATATATAACTTACATGCTTCCAAACAAAATAATTATTGATGTTTGTAGTTTTTAAGGTTTCACTAAATCTTGTCCTACATGTTTTTTAACTGAAGAGAGTACAATTCAGTGCGGGCAAGAATAAAGGATTCGCGATATGGAATTCCATTACTAGAATATTTTGAGTTATTACTATAATTTAAACTTATAACCATAAGGCAATCCATCTGCTTTGTCGGAGCAGGGGCAGAGAGGGATTCATTAGTTTGACAACACAAGGGTGTCATGTGGAGAAAGAGAATTGAACTATTCTCCGGGTACTGGTACTGCTTAAGCCCAATCAAGTGAAGAAATCCTGAAAGATGGACTTGATTTACTTTCCTTTCCAAGACCTATGCCATATGGTTTGGGTATACCACTATCACCTAAGTATTGAAAAAGATGTGACAATTGTACTGAAAATGGTCAAGAAATGGATTGAACAAAGTTTTGCATTGGAATGTAGATCACTTGCATCTGACATCATTTATGGTTTGTCTTTCCAAATGCCTAACTACGTTAGGCTTTAGTGTGCCACGTGTCATTCAAATGCCTAACATATGTAAATCAACTGATTGAGCATATTTTGGTACCTCAGCTATGCTAGGATTTGATAAAACACAAACATTGTTACTTACAACACAAGGAAAACAAGCCACAGAGCAGTTCCATAGGAACAGGAATTCAACCTCAGACAGAAAAACTCCACGATAGAAGAAGAAACACCACCACACCCCATGCATATAAAATCCTTCTGTAACAGTAACTTTGATTTGTTTTTTGTTCTTCCAGCATATACCCACCTAATTGTGTATGATAAATTGGCAAGTTCCTAACAGCACACAAGATGTGTAGACATGTTTTTCATAAACTCATTTAGTCAAACCTACACTAGATTTCCTTGCACTTTAATAAGAAAAAAAAGGCATCTCTACAGCAAGTTTCTGTTCCCAAACAAAAACACAGCAGGTCAAAAATTCAAAGTTAACTAAACAATAATCCTGTTGCAAATCTTTTGGCATCCCGATCTCTATGCTTCCACCAGGTTACTTTTGTCGAACAGTCATGTCGTTCTGCTTGTACCTCACATGTGAACATGATTATCCTCTAAACTCAAGTTCTATCACCTATAATCTCTAAAGACACTAGAAATGACCGACAGAGCATGCACAATGCAGGGGAAAAAGAGTACAAGAACTCACCCATCTGAAGTCGACATAATAACTGGCAAGCACTGTTCATTCGCGCCAAGTGCAATCACCCTCCAAATGAAGCTATCATGGTACATCGCCGCTGGCACCATCGTCTCATCCTCACAAATTGCCTTTCTCAAAACATCCACATTGTTCAGGACCAGCTTTGGCTGCACAAAAATGACAGCAGCACCAACACAATAATGTCAAGTTATACAAAGTCACCACAAACCCAACTGAAATAACACCAAGTCTACCTGGAAGAACTCCTCCTCTGCAGCACCCGACAGAACATCCAGCAACAGGCACGGCCAGTCAGTAGCCGAATTGGCTAAGGAGCGCGAGAACCGCCCAGTTCTATTCATATCCCTAATTGCCTCCTTCCTCCACCCCTCCTGCATTCCAAGCACCTCCTTAGCCACTCGCAAGGACGCCATTGCCTCCTGCATGTATGCCCTCTCTTCCATGGAGCAGTTGGTCGCCTCTCCCTCGCCAATGCGGAGTGCGTTGTCGTCCCTGCGCACCGCGGCGAGCACGGCCCTCGACCAGAGCGCCGGCACGGAGGTCGCCGAAGAGCGGCGGGCTGGCACAGAGGCGGCCGAGGAGCGGGTGGTGGAGGGCCCCGAGAGGCGGGAGAGCGCGGTGCTGAGGCCGTGGTTGCGGGAGAGCGCGGCGAGCACGTCCTTAGAGCCCACAGCGCCACAGAGGACGGCGGCGCGGGCGAGGCCCTCAAGCGCGGACTCGAGGCGGAGGCGGAGGTCGTGCAGCGAGGGGGGAGACGCTGGGTCGGCGGGGAGGAGGGACCACGGGGCAGCGGCGGGAGAACTCGGCGTGGGGTGGAGGAAGTCGACGAATGCGGTGGCGTGGGGCGGGTCGGACCACCGCGGGAGGAGGCGGTGGAGGAGTAGCGTGGACTTGCCGACGCCGCGGGACCCGTGGAAAAGGAGCGGCTGTGGTACGCGCGGGCGGAGTGCGTGGTTGTGGAGGACGGTTTCGAGTACAGGACGCGGGATCACGCGCCACGGCCGGCCGCCGGCGGCCATGGCGGCGCGGTGGGGACGGTAGGGTTCTGTGTGGGTTTTGGGCAGAGCAGACGAATCAGGGGAGCGGAAGCGGAATGGTGAGCACGAGCGGGACAGGAGAAAGCCACGTGGGATGATGGGCTGGAATTGGACCGTCCTTGAAGGACTAAATGGGCTATTTGTGCCACGCTCCAGCAAGCCATGGAACGCCGGCGAGCTGCCGAAGACAACGGACGGCGACATGGCGCAGGCGTCTCAATGAGAAAGAAACCGAGCCGCGGCAACGTCGAACCAACTTCTCTATAGGAGCTCTTTTTTTTTAGGGTCGGTTTGGGATCGCTATGCTCCATGTTTTCAACTCTGTTCCATGTTTTTAGTCAAATAGATGTAGACGTGTAGCTTCACAAACTATGCTCAAGAAAAGTTGGAACCGTAAGAGCACCTAAGATAAAGTTAGCGAAGTTGCTCCAGAAATTTATAAGATTTATTAGTTTATTAATCAAAATCATTTCTAGTTTCCTCTATCGAAAATGATGTAGAATGTTTCCTTGTTTGTGTCCATCAGTAAGAATGTTTCACTTCGCAAAAAAAAAAAGAATGTTTAAGGTGCAGCTTTAAGCTTTTAACTCAAAAACTAGCTTTCTTACTTTGGGTTTCTGGTAGACTATAAATTCTTATCTTCTCAGTACACAAAAAGTAAGAAAAGCTCTTCTCAGCTTGTTTTCAGCTTTTAGTTTATTTCCTCATAATTTAGTTTCTAGCTTTTCAAAAATCAACTCAATAGCTGGACTCTTTGTTTTAACTTCTAATTCTGGCTGGTAGAAGACAGTAAAAAAACTGAAACAAATAGGTCCTTAGTAACTTCAGGAATTTTAAAGGAGGAGGTTCAATTCTTTAACATTCATGAAAAGGATCCTATGACAAGGCGGTCTGGATTCCTCCAGATCGTTTGTGTTTTGTGTTTGCCTACTACTATGCACACACATGCACTCTTTCCTACGAACACCCACATGGACATCATATATGTAGATATGAGATTGACAAAGTCATCACGAATATATCAGTAGACACATTGCATAATACTATGAGAACAGCGCCATTAAGTTTTACAATAAATAAAACACTAGCACCTGTGTGCAGACTGCAAAGCCTAAGAGTTAATTAAATCTAGGTGAGTAGATTTCACCGAACAAATCTAACCAAAATGAGCTACGTTTAGGTACTTTATATTTTACTCGACCAATGTGAGACTCGAAACTAACATTTTTGTGAAGGTTTATGTGAAATTCATGTGTCCCGTGAAAAAAAACATGTAATTTATTTTTTGGTTTTGCGATTAAATGTGGCTCATACGGTATATCGCGTTATCTGGTCGGCGGTCGCGCCTCCCCTGGACCCTTCCTCCTCTTGTGTCCTCTAAGCCCGCCGAGTTAGGAAGCCACTCGCTACTGCGCCGACAGCCGCCACCCTAGCCCCCACCGCGCAGCCTTCTTCCTCTCCCCGCCACAGCAAGCTCCGCCATGGCGCCCCCCCCTCTGCGGCCGGCGCCCGCCCTCTCGCCCGCTCATTTGTCGTAGGGCCCTGAGCAGCCCGGACGCCGTTCCCATCGCTTGGTCAGCCTGCCTCCCCTGGGCTCCTTCTCTTCTAAGGCCGCCAGAGTTAGGAAGACTGTCGCCGCAGTCGCCGAACCTTAGCCGCGTCGTCATCGTCTTCGTTGCAGCGCGCATGTGGGCTGCGTGGGAGCGAGCGTGCGGTCGCGTGGGTGCATGGGCGTGGGCTGGCCCGCGTCACGCGTTCCACGCAAAGCGCGACCCGCCGCGTTAGAGTTTGCGCATGGAGAAATGTTCATATCCTGATTTTTTTTCTGTAAAAGATTAACTAATCGAGGCCTCAAATCACAGGGCCCATGAAAGAAATCCTTGGACATCTTCCTCAGAGCGCACTTCCAACCATATAATATACAGTACATGGATAGCACCATCATCAAAATAATTAAGGAGAGCACTAGGCAATGCAATGAATGATTTTGAGGCCCTAGCTAGTAGCTAGTAGCATGGTAGGAGTGTATATCTCTGTAGGCCCCATGCAATATATTGCCATGCATGCAAAGGGCGACCACACGAACCACAGAATCTCATCATCAGTCAAATATAATCAATCAAATGTATGTTGTGCGAGAGTGCGACCGGTGGCCGCCTCCTCCCTTCACATGGATGAAGAGGCACTCGCTTGCTAGCGGTAGCGGCGCGAAGTTGCGGCCTACACGGATCCCCCAGTACAATCACAAAGGTAAACGACACTAGCTACCTAAGGTAGGGTGAGGTTGATTGGCATCCGCCTTGCTCGTGTTTGTCAGGGCATTACAGGATGCTGTCCAAGCACATGGTCACATCACATGCAGGGGCGGAGCCGGGATCTATACCTGTTCGTTTGGCCGATAAGCCATGATTAAAAGTATTGTTGGCTGATTTATTGTGAGAGAAAAATACTGTTCGTTGGTTGGAAAAGTACGGCTTATAAGCCAAGCGAATATGACGCTAGACATAGGGGGCCAACCCACCAAGGCACCGTCATGGCCCACCATGTCTTGCAAAATTAAACATAGACATATATAATTAAGCATACACATTAAGCATACACATATATATATTGTCATATGAATTCAATCATAGCGCATATGGCAAGATTCAAATACATGTCTTGCCTTATTGCAAAAACCATCTCCCATTTTAGTCCTAATATGTGTCTTAGCAAGTTTCACGGTTGGATAGACTCTCTCAGTGGTCGTTGTTGATACCGGAAGAGTTATGAGTAATCTTAGCAATCTATCAACCATTGGATAAATAGAAATTTTACCTAATCTCATTAGTCCCTTTGTTAGATCAGCAAATGATGGCAATGTACTTAGCTCTGGATGGTTGCATATATCAAGTTGAAAAGGAAATTAACTATAGAATTAACAAGGATTTGTGATCTGTGAAACAGAAAAAGGAATAAATAAATTACTAAACGTTGTAAACAATGTGACCCTCCGTTTCCTCCTTGCGTGGGCCAATGGGTTAGGATTACTATTTTTGCTGGGTTTTGGCAAAGGCATAATTGACTAATTGACTATGATTAAGGGTGATTAAAGGGTCCTATTAATACATCTGGTGGACCATTAGGGGGGAGCTAGGCCCCAGCAACGATCCACCAACAAGAACGAGGTCCACCAAGGCTGGCCCTCTAGCGACGAGGGCTCCAGCAACTACAGCTGTCGGAGTCCTCCCTGGACCTCCGAGGATGCCCCCCGCCGATGTCGACGTTGGGGAGGAGGACACCGACACTACTAGAAATATCCACTTCTATAATGAAAATATTAATGACGAATCCGAAACCGTCATAGAAGAGCGCTTTTTATGACGAATATTTTCGTTTCGTCATAGATCGGTGGTGACGATCCTGCAACCCTCCCTTTCTATGACGAAATCAGACATCGTCACAAAAAATGTCATAGAAGAGCGCAGGGTTTCGTCATAGATCACTCGCGCGACTCATCTGTGATGATCTCCTTTAAAACTGTGACGAACAGGACTTTGTCATTGAACTAATTACACATATGTGACGAACAATATTCGATTTGTAACAAATGGCTTCATCATATATCTCCACACGGTCCTTTCTCCATCCGACGTGTACCTGTGGAACCTGCAGTTACTTATCCGTGACGCTTGTAATTTGTCATAAAAGTCTCCGCGCGATCATATTTCCATGCGACGTATACCTGTGGGACCCTTCTCCATCCGACGTGTACCTGTGGGACCTATAGTTACTCATCCATGACGCTTGTAATTCATCATAGAAGTCTCCGCTTGGTCCTTTCTCCATTCGACGTGTACCTACGGGACCCTTCAACATCCGACCTGTGGGACCCGACGGCTTACGTGTCACGTGTACCTGTGGAACCGTTCTCCATCTCCATCCGACCTGTGGGACCCGACGGCCCATCTCCATCCGACCTGTGGGACCCGACAGCTTACGTGTCACTTGACGCTTGTAATTCGTCATAAAAGTCTCCGCTCGGTCCTTCTGCCTCCGACCTGTGGGACCCGATGGCTTACGTGTCACATGTACCTGTGACACATTTCTCCATCTCCATCCGACCTGTGGGACCCGACGGTTTGCGTGTCACTTGTACCATGTGTGCTGACGGGGTTTAATTTCTCAAAAAAGGTCTGATACCTGGGAGTCGAACACAGGATCTGGACCAAGGATTGGAGCGTCTTTACCATTGTGCTAGACGCCTGGCTGTGCTGACATCTTTTTGGAGTGGCTATAGTATCCTATTAGTTGTGTTACAGGTTGACTTAAATTGGATATATCTCTGCAAGTGGAAACAAATCTGTGCCCGCTGGTATAGTTGTCCATCGGGCCGGGTTGGTCCAGCACGGCACGGGCATAGGCCAGGCACGGCACATCGTGCCTCCTGTGTCGTGCCTCCACGGGCCTCGTGCCTGGCCTTCGGCCCAAGCACGACACTACGGGCTAAAATTCGTGCCGTGTCGGCCCGCTAAGCACGGGCAAATCATAGTGTCGTGCCAGCCCATGGCCCGGTGACCTTAACACACACCAAAATGTTGCTCCCATCACACTCTTCTCAATTTTCACAGTTGCACAGATTCATTCACACTCATTCACAAGCTATTAGCCAAACTCATTCACAATCACAAATATAACATTCCAAACTTATCACAGATTATAATTTATAACTTCTAACCAAAAGCACCAAAGGAGACAAGATAATTAAGATAAATGAGTTGTTTGTGCAATGTTGCCTCATTAAAAATCCTTCTAGATAAAACTCACCCTTGTGAGAAATCCTAGAAAGGAAAAAAGAGTGCAGCACAGCTCTTAATCAAGTCTTAAACCATTGTTCAAAGGTCTCAGATATAGATATAGATAACATATCACTCTCAAGTCTCAGACTCTCACAACTCTCAAATCTCACACAGTCTGTACCAGCAGAAGCCATAGATGACACA